GAAAAAACGATATTTAAGTTAATTAAGGGAAATAAATATTGTAAAACAGGTATTTTTCAATATTTTTTCGTAGTATTGTTTGCACTAAATAAATCTTGTTGAACAGAACACATGATGGCATAACTGCTAAGACCATGGTAAAAACATAATCAAAAAGTATTATTCTATTTATTTTCATTGCTCATGCACTTTCCCATGAGAAATATATGATCGTGATTTTCAGTTTAAATTACATATCTCAAGCAAAAATCTATATATAAAAAGATTTGAACTTAACAAATTCATATTTAAATACCATAAAATTCTACAAATTTCTTAATATCCGTCATTATACTTTTAAATAGACTACTTATCACATTCTTTTTAAAGTGAAAAGTCACTTCATTACTGATTCACTTCAGATTCCATTGCAGAAGTGCATATATTTTCAGTATAATCTAAAAGTACTATTATAACCCCTTACACTCCCAAGATTTCTATATAACATTTATCCTGGACGTGATTATTTGCTATAGTAAATAATCTTCGATATTGGCATCCTATTCTTCTTCCCTCCCATACATTAAAAATGGAACAATTAAAATACATTTTCTTACACATATACGCACAATAATAATAATAATAAACTTGCCTTACGTCTTAGTTTCGGTCCACCAGCGGCCGAGCGGTAAAGTCGCTGAACACTGGGTAGTTCGGTTCGAATCCCGCGAACGGGCTGGCTGCGTGGGTGTTTTCGTGGTTTTCCTCATGCGTAACATGTATACGAGCCAGTTTCCCTGAGAAAGTCCTCCACGAAGGCATCACACCTATTACGCAGATAGCCCTAGTGTGCTTTGCTATAATTAAATACACCACCACATCTTAGTTTCAATTCAGTCTGTACACAAATTAAATATTTTTAATTCACTAATGTATTTTTATCAGGCTTATTTCTTAAAATACTTTTGTTATACTCGAAATATGTGTTCAATATTTGATTATTTTTCTTTCTCTTATAATTAAAAACAAGTTATATGGAATCAAAATCAAATTAAAACATATGCAGCAGTTAAATAACACTGAACACCTGAATATCTTACTTTCTCTTTCGCTATTTGTATTCCTAGCATTATACACAGATTTGTTTTCCTTCAGGTTCAAGCATGGTAAGTTCATTTAGTTATATCAATTAAATTACATCACACATACCTGTATGCATCAGTTAAATAACACTGAAGGAAATATGTCACTCACTCATTCGATGTTTGCATCATAGTGTGGTCGAGAAATTGTTCCTTTCCTCACGGTGAGGCATGTATCAGTTTACTTAGTTTCGCAAAGCTTAACCCAGACGCTGCTTCAATACATAGAGTTACGTTTGGGATGTAAAGAAAGTAAACCAAAACATGTGAATGAAGTTGGATACGCAAATTTATTAACTCAACTATTCATTTAGGTACTCAGTATTGGTAAACATGACACTGAGTTTAAATATCTCACTACGATGTAAGTCTCATACACAAAATGAAGATTATGATAAAAAAATGATTTAAAATGAGAAATTTTTTCAATTTAAATGTAAAATAGCAGTAAAATGAAAAATAAATGTAAAATTACATCACAGTTATGTATGAAAACTACATAATTCATTAAAAAAATAGTTATTTTATCTGATTGTAAAAAGCGTTTTCCGCCAAAAAACGTATTAACGTGTATAATTCTGACACAACGCTATAGCACAATTTGCCACTTCCGCTTAGGTATAATAGCAAATTAACAACACAAATCAAATCAAACTGTTGATGCAACGAAAGTAAACAAATGCCAAGAACTAACGCTGTCACCCACATGACGTCATGCGTATGTGGCATAACTTTCTCCCTGCACTGCGCATCGCTCTTGGGCCCCCCTTGGCTCTGACCCCAAGATGGCCGCGCTAGCCCCGCCCCTAGCGGACACAGACGGAAACGTAATCTACTTCCTGGATGGCCCTCGTACCTCTCGACTGCTGGTGGGCTGAAAGAAGGGCTTTCGTTATAGCTCCTTGAAAACCCTTCTGTTATAATGATAAAAATATTTAAGAAATTGAAGGCCTTTCCTATCACCTGTGTATGTGTAAATATCAATATATTAGACAAATCAGGAGTTCAATTCCGCACGAGGACAAGAATGAGTTTCAAGATTTCCTCTTATAACTGCCCTAATAATTCATTACGACATTTATAAGAAGCTTCAGTGGAATTAAAATTAATGACACCGTAGTGAAACCGTTTTATTTCCTCTTCAATGTATCTTTTACATCCTTTATTATTTACTTAAAAGTAAGTTATATATAATAAGTGTGACAACTCATTGATACTTATTAATTAATATTATGCCTATAGCATTTATTATTAACTAATTTTTATATTACATGAATTAAGATTTTTATTTATTAATTCCGAAGTTTAGAAAATTTATCTTGTTTGTTTATGTCAACATTCAATAACTAATGAAGAAAACTTGAAATTATCTAATAAGATAATCGCAAAGAAAAAAATCACATTCGGGCGAAATTCTGATTCTGTTATGCTGTTCAGACAGAAAACTTCCCGGAAAATCCTAAATGTTGGTATGGTTTATTAGAAGCTCAAGATTTCAGTTTAGAAATAACAATTAAGTTTGAATCTAATATTAAAAGTTCATAAAGCATAATATTTGTGGAAAGTACTTGCGCCTTATTTATAGTAAAGCCAATTAAGTTAAGCAGTTTTCAAACAAGAGCGGGTCAGCAGTGAATTATGAAAGTAAATCTATAGATTTTTCTTGGTAACTATACACCATTGATGTGCTTCTTTAAATATTAATTATGCGCTTATTTGGAAGTTATTAACGTCTCGGAGCTAAAGATAAGAAAAATCTCTTAAGCTTAGATGTCGGAATGTTCGTATTTTCATTTTAAATATAGGTTTCCGTTGCAACGATGACGCAGCACGCAGTGATGCGGAAAGAGAGGATATTTTACCACTGAGCAGTAAAAGATTTATTTTTCTTACCTGTAAAATAACACTTTACCTCCTGCCTTCTCTTACACAAAGTATTTTGCTTTTTCACTATCATCCCTCTTAAAGATTCTCTTACGCATCTCAATTCATGTTTTTTAGGATTAATTTATTGTGTATATAGTTTCCATCATATAGTCTATAAAAGAAGTTATCGAAAATACATATGAGACTCCACGTCTTCAGCATGTTGTAAACATTTTCTTAAAACTTTTATTTGAAGAATACTCACTTCATATCCATTATCTGTTTTAATGTAATAAATTTCTCATTTGAGATCTATGCAGAAAATTTCAGCACAAAGTAAATACTGATGATTAGTTTTTAACATACTTACAATATCTCAGCGAACTTGTACAAGGGCCGATTGGAAACTCTGAAATTGCGTCTCGTTCTCTTCTCTGATATTAGACGTTGAACTCCTTTACTATATAATCGTGCTTCAGCTCTCAGTTGGACAACCATGGTCTTTAATATTTGGTCACAGCAAGTGGAAGTACTTAGCACATTTCGTCGTGACGAGTGATGAAGCAATCTTTATCACTATTAAAGTAGTGATGTTTTTTTAATTTTGGATAAAACTTCAGTAGAAATAGCATGAAACAGTTGAAATGTTATATAATAAAACAGTATGCATAATAATAAAACAGTATGCATACCATGATAAAACATTTAGCATGATACAATATTTCAGTGATAGAGAGCACTTCGAGGCGATAATATGCGAGTGATCGATAAAGCACATTTTGCCAGTTTATCCACTGCGATTGCAGATTCCATTGCGGTTACCCCCTTCGTAGACATTCTGGAAACGAAGATTATTACAGAAACTTGAACATAAGGTGTGGTGTTGTGTGGCCCCAACTTGCCCGCAACAGTAGTAGTGACTGCTATGAACTGGAAATTACACAAACTCTTAAGAAGGGTTTAACTCCCTTTTTATTCCACTTTAGAAGTTACAGATGCGTTCACTTGACGCTCACAAACTACGCCGACCCGGCGGTTAAATAAAAATAGAAAAGTACAACTAAAAATAAATAACAGGATGAATAAATAACAAGTCACTACCTACGAGGCTCTATAAACGTGACTAACTTAACCGCGTTTCTAAGATACAGCTGAGATTTTCAGCAAACTTTCAGAATAAGAAGTTGAAAGATTCAACTAACTGCCGAAGTAGGCACACAGGCCGAAACGCGCGGTTCTTAAACTTCTACCAAGCAACCTTCACGCTCGTGAATCAAGAAAGCACATTACAAACTCGTTTCCCTTCTATTTAACTCAAAATTACTTCTGCTAAAAATTTGAATACTCTGCGCGTTCTACTAACATTTACATACTCTGGCATTGGCAATTCCAGGGAAAAGTAAAGGCTTGACAGGAAAGATAGCTTAAAATAAATGTTAGTTAAAATAAATATAAACCCTACAAATGTTTGAACCTAATTAATGCCCCAAAATGTATTAATTGTAGTTAACAATTTGTCAGAAACCAATAATCAAAGGAAAGATTATTTTTACTGTCATCTAAAAAATTTTCGAATTTAAATTTATTAATTTTTAAACAATATTCAAAAATTTTAAAGCTAAAACTAACAATTAATTTAAATTTAAAGCTAAAATTAGCAATTATTATAAAATTAAAGTTGCCAGTTTTAAAAAGCTAAAACTATTAATTTGAAAACATTCTAAAAATATTGAAAGTTAAAATTGGTAATCTTTTCTAATTCTTTTATTTTCTTATTGTCAACTTTTTTTACTCAAAATATGTATGATCCAGCAAATTGTTTTTTTTTTTAATATTTCTATTCCTCGGAAGAAATACGCAGGTTCTACTGCTCTCACGTAAGCATTATGCTTTTCAGATAGTTTCTCAGTCTTTATTTTTCAGCACTGAAGCATCAGATTTTTTAAGTTTTTGAAGTTTCGATGTTTAACTATACAGTTTTATAAATTCTAATTTCTTTCAAATCTTTTTCAGAGACTGGTAATTAATGAAGATTCCGATAGTTACAAATATTGGAAAGATGTGCCAGTGCCAATCTATATACATTTTTACTTTTTTAACATCACGAATCCGCAAGAAATATGGGATCTCACAAGCAAACCAGTTTTAGAAGAAGTCGGACCCTATACTTTCAGGTATTCAATACGTTTTCGGGTATTAATTTATAACTATTCTGATTCACAGAGTAGACATATGCTTTAAAAAAATGACATATGCTTAGTAAAAATTCTTATTATTGAAATACGCTGTCTGAAAAAAAAGTATTCAAGCATTTATTTATTCACTCGCCATCTCTGTCTAACAAGAAATGAAACAAACTAGAGCTGAGCCACTCTTTTCTATCCAGTTTTCTGAAAGGCCTTCTATTAAGAAATTATTTCCCATGCTTCACAGTTAAGGAAAATAATTGTCAACTCGGTAACTGACGTCGGGCGTTGGAGCCTAGGTTGCCAGGCTGACGTTTCAGCTCATTTCCAAAGTGTTTACTTACTTACTCTTACCGCCTGTTGAGTTGCTGTACCGCCTGTTATATGACTATCAGCATTTGTACTTAATTGGTGGAGCATTCTATTGTCGCTAGAGCTAGCCAAAATTCTCTATAGAATATCAAAATTTGCAGCGGAATTTATAAAGTTACTTCGGAAGATGGGTATTTGTGACCTGTAGTTATTAAAGAGCCCCTTTGGCTGTGCTGAATGACTTTTTTTCCTTCAAAGTGCTGAATGAAGTTGAAACCAGTTATTGTATAAGTTCTTCGACATTTATACAAAGACCAGCATTGTTGAAATAAAGAAGCGCGGAGCCCCAATACACAGAGCGAAGGTTTGAAGAGAAAATAATCTGATCGTAAAGTGTGTTCCAAAACTAACGCAAGATATGAATTCAATATAAAAGAGAGTTTTTAGTCTTTAGGAATTTATTTTTTAAGTGAATCATAAAGTACATAGGATAGGGTTATTTATGGAATAACACATCGGAAAAATGGCCTCCACGGCTTTGCTGGCACATACGCACCCTTTCGTCGAAATTTTTCATGACCTTTCTGCATAATTGTTCCTGAATTTCGTTGATGCAGCGTTTAATTTCCTCTTGTAATGCACGTGGGGTTGTGGGATTGTTGACATAGACCTGTGACTTCAAATAACCCCACAAGAAGAAATCTAATAGTGTTAAATCACATGATCTAGGAGGCCAATTCTAATCACCGAAACGAGAGATTACACGATCAGGAAATGTCTCATGCAGTAATTGAATTGTTTTATTTGCTGTATGGCATGTGGCACCGTCTTGTTGAAACCTCATATTGGCCACATCCATGTCATCCGATTTCGGCAGAAAGAATTGTGTTATCATGTCGCGATATCGAGCACCATTAACAGTTGCTGCTTGACTGGCCTCATTCTCAAAAATGTATGGTCCGATGATGCCTCCTGCCAAAATTCCGCACCAAACAGTGACACGTTGTGCGTGCAGTTGTTTTTCGCTAATCACACGTGGGTTCTCCGAACCCCAAACACGACAATTTTGATGATTAACAAAGCCATCGAGGTGAAAATGGGCTTTATCGCTTAAGATTATTTTGCTCGAAAAACCAGCATCCACTTTTTGATGATTAATAATCCATTCCACAAATTCTCTTCTCTGTTCATGTTCATTAGGCTTCAGAATTTTGTAAGCATGAACACACAGATCTTTTGGGAGTATACGCTGTAGAGAGCTTCTTGAAATTTGCAATTCTTGTCCACGACGCCAAATTGATGTTCCTGGGTTTTCATCAACACTCTCACGCACTGCTTTAATATTGACATTTGAACGGCTTGGTTTTGGACGACCGGTGTGTTTAGCGTCTCCAACTGATCCAGTCTCCACGAATTTTTCAATTTATCTTTTCACAGTTGACGACGTTAAAACACTATTTTTACCATATTTTGTATAAAATTTTAGAAGTGCGGCCGCCAAACTTTCATTATTTTTAAAATATTGTTCAATAATGAAGACAAGTTGTTGTATCGTATAACGCTCTATTTTCACTAACCCTAAACTCTCGGCTTTCAAACTGTTATTTTTTCAGGGTTGCCAACAACTTAATGCATAAATGGCGCCAAATTCAAATCTTGCGTTAACTTTGGGACACCCTTTATAAATGTTGAAGAACTTGTACAATAACTCTCTTTCTCTGTTTCTCTCTCTCTCTCTATATATATATATTTATATATATGATGTATATGTGTGTACAGGATGTTCGTAAAAATTTACTGCAGACTTTACTTTTTTATATATTGTTTTATATTGTTTATATATATCATAGGCATATATTTCCATTTAAAGAGTTTATGAAAGTAAGGTAGAGAATTTTAAGAGAATAGTTTCAGCGCAGAGAGGGAAGTAGAAAAATATGTTTTGAAAATACAAACATCATACAAAACAAACTTTACAGGAGTGTTTTCTATATACCAAAATATCTATCTCATTCTGTCTTGGTGAGTAATTTGCGCTTTGATACTAAAATTCAGTCTGATGAGTGGATGTTTAAATTTTTAGTGCCATAATCAAAATCTGCATAACGGCATTTTTACAAAATTTCAGAGCTGTACTTATTTCTTTCCTTCCCTGCATTTAAACATTCATTCATATTGTCTCTCTTTCAGGGAAGCCAGAGAAAAAGTAAATATTACCTGGAATAATAACGGCACAGTAAGTTATAAGCAAATAAAAAGATGGTATTATCAACCAGATCGAACAAATGGGAGTTTATATGATGTAATTACTACTCTTAATGTACCGATGGTGGTAAGTTCGATTTTACTTAACGGGTTGAAAATCTGAAATTTTATGTTAATGCAAGGCCTGAATTTTGAAACTCCTAAATTTGAAGCGATATTATTAAAAATTTGTATGATGAGTAAAAATTTATTTATAAACTTAAAATTGCAAGTAAAAAATACAATATGTGATCAATTAAAATTTTTCATGATTTGATCATTTCTGTTCTGAATTTTTATAGTCTAGTTAAGCATCGTATTATATTCAGAGAAATTCAAATCATTATACAATTAGAAATGTAATTAGGGCTAGTTGTTTCCGAGACATTTTGGATTTTTGCAGTAAGTCCGAACACTATAAAAGAGAATTTTCTCGGGCCCAAACTACTGAGAACGTAAACTGGATTCTTTTTCTCCTTCATTTACAAAGAAATATTCAAGTGATTTCCTTAGACGTGAGAAAGCTACACAAAATTTGAAACGCTCATAAAAAGCATGTAAAGAGGTGAAATAAAAGAGAAACATTCCAATGTAAAATCAAGCTAAAAAGCAACTTCAGCTGGCGAAGATTAAAGCTCAGTAGATAAGCGATCAGTTTTTTTCTTCAAGAGTGAAGAAAGTTTTCCAAATTGATGAAAGACGAGAGCAATGCAGCATTAAAATCACATAGAGCTTTATTAAAAATCTACGCCAAGCTAAGGTAGTTTTTGCCGAATTTTAAACATTAAAAAAGTATTCATCTGGAAATTCTGCTTTATAATAAATTAAGCTTACTGAGAATGAAATTAAACCTCCGAAATCTGTGTATATTTGTAGTAAGAATTCGAATAGGTAATTGCATTTTGGAGGATACAGTTTATAATTCTTTAGCGTGAGTTACATTCGAATCCATTCTTTTTAACTCAAGGTACTCCTTTTCACTTCAAATCATTCCACTATCTTTTACTATGTATATGTAATTGACTATATGAAATAATGAATATGAAGTTTAAAATTTAACATATCATTTCTCAGTTCCAATTGCAATATAAGCAGCACACTAAATTTACTTCAAATATCGTTGTCTCGACGCTTCTAAGAAGAGGTGAAAGTAAAAAACACTTTAAATTCCTTCTTCATTTCATGATACATGTTTCCTTTTTTATAACGTGGAAGTTCTTAAGTTTCAGAAAAGCCTGAATACTTCACACCGGATCTGCTTAATAAATTCATGGATTGCAATTCATGGATTCATGGATTCACTGATTGCAAAATTTTCGAGCATTTTAGCCTTCCATCAGCATACCAATGGCCGAGCGGTAAAGTCGCTTAACATTGCTAGCTCAAAGGGGATTCAAATCTTAGGAAACGGGCTGGTTACCTGGGTGTTTTCGTAGTGTACCTTATGTGTGACGTGCATGTGAACCGGTTTCTCTTAAAAAGGCATTTGCCATTATAAAATAAACAAGACCTTAACCTATCATCATGTTAGTGAATGCCTGAAGCGGCTTTTGTTTTACATTTAGAAAGCTGAATTAGGACTTTTACCACTGTTCTTCCCTCTTTTCTTCTTGTGGACTTCACCTTCCAGGAATGTAATATCATTAATCTTCATAGACACTAACTTATGAAGCAAGTAACGGTACAACATTTGCAACATAACATCTAGTAAATGTTTGAATGTCAGTTTTCTAAATGCTTGATTAAAGGACCACTAATTTATTTGCAAAAAAGGAAAAGAATCAGAAAACTATACCAGAAAACAAATACAAAAATTTCTTTTATTAGGGACATCATGTCATTTAACTCGGATAAGTGACCATGTAGCATTTTTACAATAATTAACCAGCTATTATGATTTGAACTTTCCCTTTAACTTCTTCCTAACTTCTTCCTTCCGTAGTCCTCAGGAAAATGCAAGTTAGTTGTTGTGTATTTAAGCAGATGATTTGAATATTTTAGTATCAGAGTTTCCGGCAGCCTAGCCTTGCAGTTATGTACTATCGCCAGCTCTGTCAAAGTTATTCCGGCTTTAGTAGCTTGCTAGATGACGTATACAGTACGCGCTGTTATTTATATCGAGCCTGCTTTTAAGTAGCCTGTTTTGTGTGTAGTCTCAGACTACGTTACCTACATTTGAAATTATCTTATGCTATTTTAAATTCCTTCAAGTAGCGGCGGTTTATCAATAGCACAAGTAGTGACTTCTATTCATTTAAAGAGTTAAATAAAGAAGGTTATTTTAACCTACTTACGACTTAATTGTTTGTTTCAGAATGAAGCCATAGAACGCTTTCTAGTCTAGTAGGGTTTGCAAAAATCTGAGATAAGCTTCTAAACGTAGTAAAACCCTTCAACTACAGCATTACCATAATCTAGCAGCTTTGAGAAAAACTTGGGCAGAAAAACGACTTTTAAAGAACGGATTCATATGGCATACCTAAGGTATCTGAATTGCCACGAAATGGGCTCCATTTTAAGCTTAACTGGCAAACTTAACCTGGAGTCGATTTCGTGGGAATTCAGATTTTAGAAGATGAAGTATGTTTGTGGCTCAAAATACATTAAAAAATTAAATAATTATATGTAGCTTTCTTTTCTGAACTGGCAGCACCCAACTGTCAATCTTCTCTACGCACACAAATTCACTCTGAAGTTAGACCAGACTGAAGCTATTTCCCAAATTGTCGGGCTTCTTTTCTAAATCTTCTTTACAACTAAATAGAAGTCAAGTTAAATTTCAGTAATACAGATGAGAGTAAAATTTTACTAAAAGTTTTGTTTGGTTACTCCGTGTAGTTTACAACTTATAATTAAAAAGCAACAGACAAAACTCAGAGGTTTCAAGTTCGCGAGATTTCAAGAATTCAAATATTTAAAGCATTAAAAATATAAAATCCAGCTTTCATCTCAACAACTTGGCTCTAGTTAACAGCAACTCTAAACGTACTCTCCAGCAGACACAAAATTCTGTCACCTGTCCACGTTCTGTCACCGGATCTTCTTCATAGCTGGATGATTTTCACAATGCTGTCTCTGAATTTCAATTTTTCTTGCTGCGTAAACTCAGTTTGCATTCTAAAGCGTACGGAAAAAGTAGAAAATGCAGACGAGAATTAGCATAAAAAGTAAGATGTTAGCTAAACTTAAGCATGGTAAAACTATAAGGTATTTCTCCTTCCTTTTCGCACGTCTTGGTGTAATTGGAAGCATATTCAAAACTCAGGATAAACCTTAGAAATTGATCAATTCTTCGCATTGAAAATATAAAATAGAAAAGGATAAAGCAAATTATATACTTGTATATATGTAATATATTCAGGCTCAGAAGCAATGACCAGGAAATTGAGGGCGAACGCAGATTTAAATCTTCAGTTTTATTTTCGGCAACATGTTTCGGCTACACACAAGTCAGCACATTGAATGTGCCTGTTACAAAAGGCTTACATTTTTGATAATTTTGTAGCAAGAAAGAAGAGCAGACAGACAGCACTGTAGCTAGGCCAAAGCGTGGAAAGAAAGTGCGTAATGTTCAGGATGAAATCTCAAGTCAGACTGAGTTAGTTTTGGTTTTTCAAAGCATTTTGATTGGATAATTAATATGGCTGTAAAATTTTTATTGGCTGCTTGAGTTTTAGTTCAACTTACATTACCAGAATTACGTAAGAGTCATATGACATGGATTTTTCTCAAAATGACGCAGTGCAGAGAGGGGTTACTATTTTTAGAATAGAGAAAGGAAATTAATTTACGCTGCTAGTTTAATATTTTACATATTCTTTTTCTTACACACACACACACACACACATATATATATATATATGTAAGAAAAACAAAGAGTTTGTAAAAGATAAATTATAATTTAAATTTGCAGCCTAAATTAATTTCCTTTCTCTATTCTAAAAATAGTAATTACTTTTTGCACAGCGTCATTTCGAGACTAGTCCTTGTTACATGGCTCTTGCATAATTCTGACGATGTAAATGGAACTAAAACTCAAGCAGCCAATAAAAATTTTACAGCGGTATTAATTACCCAACAAAATGTATTGTGGACTAAAACTAACTCAGCCTGAATTAAGATTTAATCCTGAACGTAGCGCACCCGCTTTATACTGTTCGGCCTAGCTGGACGGCTGTCTGCTAGCTCTTCTTATTGCAAATCTATCAAAAATGTAAACTTTTTAAATTGGCACAAATAATGTGCCAAGTTGTTTGTGGTCGCAACATGTTTACTGAAAATGGTTTACTGAAAAAGGTCTAGCGCAGGGATTCTCAGCCTGAGCGAATTTTCCCTGGGAAGGATTTCATATCTTCAGAAGGGAATGTCAGCCCTTTATTTACTTATTTAATTTTAGCTTATGAATATCATCAAGGAATATAAGTCTACTTCTATTCAGTTTTTACATTTATCAACATTTTCAATGCTTTTTCTTGTTTAAAATACAAAAATTATCTAAATTTGACTAAATGTATGTATGCATTTTTCGAATTTTGGAAAAGATGGTAGGGGAGATGATCGTGATTGGTGAAGGGGATGCATAGGGTGAAAAAGGTTGACTGCCACTGGTCTTGCGCCACTTGCTTATTTTCTGTTCAGGCTTTCTTATCTTATCTGATCATTATATCCTATCTCGTTCATTTGCGCTTTTGCAGCTGAAGATGGTGGTTCGGTAAAACCATCGAAACTAGTCCTGTGAAAATTTGAAAATATAACACTGATTTTTGTTGTTTGACTTCTGAATTAGTATTTATTCGGTGTGTTACTGTGTCTGTGTGGTGTTACTGTGTGGTGTGGCCGCCATTTTGTGATTGCATGGGATTCCTAGTCGCCAAATCCTGGGTGCGGAGACTCATCATCCACAACCCGTTTTAGTTCGGGCGCCTTTTGTAGAGTCAGTAGGATTTTTTGGAAGCCAGAGAAATGAAAAATATGCAACTGCCTTCGCCGGGAATCGAACCATGGACCTCTGGAATACCGGGCCAGTGTGCAGAACCACTACACCACGAAGGACGCTAGGGAAGTGGGAGAAATACCTTATACTCCCATAAATAAAATTCCGAGTTCCATACTCAAGGACCCCATTCCGGATATGAATTCCTGGGGTATTTATAGGATTCCTTGCCAGTGTGGTTTAATTTAGATTGGCCAAACTAAGAGCCTTAAATTTCGCATCAAGAATATGAGGCATATGTTAGAAAAAGGAAACACAGAAGTTCTGTTGCCCACATTGTTGTCCGAAAATCACACTTTCATTTTTCTGCTGCCAAATTATTCAAAAACATCTTCCATTGGAGAACTGGATTTTCTAGAGGCATTCACATTCAAAAAATCTTTCTGTTCTAGTTAACGATCCTAATTCCAATGCCTTTGCCTTCGGCCTTTAAAGAAATTATGTTTAGTTTCTGGTTTCATCAACGATGGCGCCACTAGCTATTCTGTCCAGGCTTTCTTGTCTTATCTGATCATTATATCCTATCTCGTTCATTTGCGCTTTTGCAGCTGAGGATGGGGGTTCGGTAAAACCATCGAAACTAGTCCTGTGAAAATTTGAAAATATAACGCTGATTTTGTTGTTTGACTTCTTAATTAGTATTTGTTCGGCGTGTTATTGTGTCTTAATTAGCATGAATATTGTTGAGGATATCTGAAGGAAAGACATAAGATCATACGTTTTCATTCTCAGCATTTAATTGTGAAACAGTAAAATGCTTTTATGAACTGATTTCTTTAAACCTTTTCCTTCATTCCAGGCTCCTTTTTGGAGTATAAAGGAGAGCAGTTCTTGTATTAAAGAAATTATCTAGTGATATCTAGCATTCTCTCAGTTCACTGTGGAATTTCTATTGCATCTAAAGTCTAGAATTGTTGGATTGGAACGACTGAACGATATTAAATTGTAGAGACATAAAGTTATTTCGAAGCAGGAGAGATATATGGTCACTTTACTTAATCTGTTCCGCCAAACTAAATTAATGGCACTACAGGGGAGCAGGAGAGATGAAAATGAGCAATGCCTTCGACGGGAGTCGAACCACAGACCTCTCGACTACGCGCCGAGTGTGTTGACCATTACACCACGAAGGCATGCTAAGAAGGCGGGAGATATACCTTATAAAATTAGCGAATTGAAAAAAGGAAAAAGGTTTATTATTGAAAACGATGAATATTTTTATAAAATTACACTAACTGGATTATTCAAATTATTGTATATATTTTTCTTTTTTTATAACAATTTTAGACAGTTGGCCGCGTAAGCACCTACTAAATTAATTTATTGAAGCCAAAAGATCTGGCTCCTGAAATAACACGCCTTCTCGCATAGCTACAAGTGCAAAATTCTCTAATCAACAGTCAGCGCACCTGCAGGATGACCACTTTTCGGGCCGACGTTGCCAATGCTGTGTCTGTAAACTTAGATTCTCGCTTTGTTGCTTAAACTCATATCGAATACATTTTCTAATGGAACAGGAAAGATTCAACTTAATAAATGACGTTAATTAAAATAAACTTTACAGAACAGCTTAAAAAATTTAAGTTAATTGTTGGTTGATGAGTTTCAGCATAAATGTTTAGTTTAATTAAAAAAATTTAAAAGCACATATATTTTGTACAAAACAAAACCTGGAAGAATTTGCGAGTTTGCAAACAAAGGAGCAGCTGGCCTGTAATCTAGTTAAAAATTCAAGTTTTAACTTCTATTTTCTTTCCAAAAGGTTTTTACAGTTATAAGGTATTTCTCCCGCCTTCTTGGCATGCTTTCGTGGTGTGGTGGTCTGCACGCTGCGCGCGTATTGCAGAGGTCCATGGTTCGATTCTCAGTGAAGGCGTTTGCTCATTTTTCATCTTTTCTGCTTCGAAATAACCTAATGTCTCTACAAAGTAACACCCGATTAAAAGCGACATACCTTCCAATAGTAACTGATCTCGCTAGACTTCAGCATAAATTTCTGTTACTAAACTGCAAAGTTTACTGTCTTGTAATTGACTGTTAAGCTCTTGAAATGGAAGAGTTATTGTCACGGAAGCCGAAAAGAAAGAAAACTACGTAAAAACTTAATGTTAATAATAATGAGATAATTGTTAGTGAGTTAATATAAATGTTACATATTCAACTTGATTATAATTTTACATTAAAAAGTTTTGTTAAAAAAATTTCCTTTTTCTGTTGTTAAATCTAGTTTTTAGCGTTTTATATTTATTGCAAATATATATACATTACTTATACTGATTATTTTTCTAATGGCTGATGAACATATAAATTTAGGCTGCTGCAACGAAAGGAAAGGAAATGAATGAAGACCTGATCTACTTGGCTTTGGAAGAAATTTTCAATCATTATAACACAACATGGTTTGTAGAAAAGACCGTAGAAGAACTGCTCTTTAAAGGATATGAGGACCCTCTGCTAAAAGTAGCAAAGGCATTTATGGATTTGCCATATGATAAGTTTGGCTGGTTTTATGCGGTAAGTGGCAAATATTTTTACTTAAAATTATATTTAATTTAATCGATCATCTTTTTATTTTGAGACATAAATTTTCCGTTAACATGTAAAACTAAAAATCAAACAAGAGTACATGTGCATTAAAATGACAGAAAAGGGGTACCAGAAAAAAAGAACAAGTTGTAAGATCCAGCCTTCTTTGGGCCCACCAGCGGCCGAGCGGTAAAGTCGCTGAACACTGGTAGTTCGGTCCGAGGTTCGAATCCCGCGAACGGGCTGGCTGCATGGGTGTTGTCGTGGTTTCCCCATGTGTAACGTGTATACGAGCCAGTTTCCCTTAGAACGTCCCCCACGAAGGCATCTCTCCCGTTAGGCAGATAGCCCTAGTGTGCTTTGCCATAATTAAATACACCAACACCACCAGCCTTCTTTGCTAATATAACACTGCCACTAAACCTACTTGAAATTCTGTGTAGCGACTTATCGCTAAGACTAGAAGATGAATACAACAGGGAAAGGGTGTAAAAGAGCCTTATACTGAACTCAGTTATTTACAGACGGCACGGCCTTACGTGCTTACAATTTCACCATCTACTTGAGATGAGGAGCTTAAAGATAATGCTAACAAACCAAACTTAAGAGATAAGCTAGAAGTTTAAGAATACACAAATTAATTTAACCTAGCAGGTTGACTCAGAAACTTACACCGGCATGATACTAACTTCGGCGGCAAGAATGCGAAGGCGAGATTCAAAATTCAAACAGCTGGCAGAAATAATAGCGTGCTCACTCAATAGCAAAAACACGCTCTGACTAATCCTTTCGTTATTTCAGTTTAAATATACCCTCGTTCACCCTAACTCATTCACATCCTGGCGAGGAAACGCAAGAGGAACAAGGAGTGACAGAAAAGGCTAACAAATTAAAATAGCTATTAGTAAAAATAATATAACCCTACAAAATTTCTTTAAAAAGTAAAATATTGTCACTACTCAAGAAGGTGAGTTAATTTGGTATGTGCACAAAATGTGTATCAATGCAGTGTAGTTTTTTGAAAACTAAAACACCTAACACTATGTCTTTTGTTTGAGTTCAAAAGCAAACTCTTACCTTTTTTAATTAAATATCGTTCGACTTTTAAATTTATATTCCGAAGCATTTAAACTTCAAATTAAGACACATTAAGTTTTTTTTTTTCTGATGGAAATTTATTTTTTCTTGTTAAACTAATTGATAATAAACTGATTTGTCACTTTGCAGTAATACTTTTATTGATCATTGCAAAACTAAGTTCAGTGATAGATACAAGCATATCCACTCATTCGGATTACTTCTTTATACTATTATGTTTCACTGATATTACGTCCCCCCTTAAGAAATCAGAAACTTGCTGCACTTCTGCATTCAAACCTGTGATCGACACTATTTTGTCAATCACACCAGTTTGCTTTGTGTTTCCATGTCATATTCCCGTAAATGTCACAATATGTGAAATTCTAACAATACTAAAATCATTGTTTTATTGAAATTAGGTCAGATAATAATCTTGCAAGGACCCATCAAATTAGAAGAATGCTCAGAAATGAAATAAAGCTTATAAAAGAAATAATTTATTTCTTATTATTGAATGTATGAGGTGTCATAGTTTCAGTATTCATGTAGCCCATATGGCCAGCATTCAGAAAGAAAATAAATTCAGTAAACAGTAAAGTTAAATTAGAAGTTAAGCCAATTTACTTTTATAAATAATTGTATAATTTGATTTTAATGAAGCATATAACTTCAAGAAAATGTACTACTTTACAGTGTTTTGCATAAGCAGAGAGATAGAAAATTTAAAGATAACGGCAGTTTTATTTAAATTTTCTCAAGAATTGAATACGTGCTGTACAAAATAGAACAAGGCCAATATGAACTTTAAATAATAAGTTCTCGTGCTGCTTTTGAAATCTACTGTTGATGAACATGTCTGAAATGATAATTATGTTATTAACTTTAAATTAAGACATAATAATTGTTTCAACTGCGTTAGTGAAAAACTGCAGACTTCGTGAAAAGTATAATTTCGAATATAATCGTGAATGATAATAGCGTTGCATTTTTAATGTATTCATTTAAAGTATACTGGTTGGTTAATCAGTGTGAATAAAAATGCTTCTAACAGAATCAAAAATTTTCATCCTTTTTTTACATGTTGGTTTTTTAATTATTTTTATTGTGGTTTTGGTTAGCATTATTTTTGGAGTTCGTAGATGACCAACTGCTTTGTTTCTTACATTACATTTTTACAACATTAGTTTATAACTAACGTTGTAATGTTGTTGTAAAGTTGTTTTTGTTATAACTTTACAACATTAGTTTTGGTAATTTGTAACATCGTTTAAAATGAAAATAAATATCGTTTAATAACATGTTAACATCTGATTTTATTGATTTCAAAAGAAAAAATACACTTTCATAAATGCTTTTACTTTCATCAAAGCAGCCTATCCTTATTGCACGTAATACGATATTCTAGAACAGCGGTTCCCAGACTGTGTTATACGTACCCTCGGGATGCGGAATGTGTTAGTCAGGAGCACTCGAAAAAAATTATCGATAGTTGCGGATGACAGTAAATTGTTATAATAAATGCTGATGAAATTAGAAATGTGTTCAGGAAATCTACATCATTGAATAAAAGGGGAAGCAACTCCCAAGACTTTTGGTATCATTGTTCCTGGTCGAAATGCGTACGAAAGCAATAAAATTAGTTTAAACTAGCTCCGCCCCTAATCAATCACACATTCTATTCCTTACACATCGCATATTACCTCCTTTTCGATTGGTAGCCAACTATAGTTTCAATATTGAGTGAATTATCAAGCGAGTGACTCATATCTTTTTCTTTAGAATTGTGATATCCAAAAACGTTGGGTGAGGAGTTTTGTTTTAAATTTTATTCTTTTGGGGTTGTTAAAGTATTGTTTATATAAAAATGTATAAGTAGCTAAAAGGTAGATTCTCACACAGAATTTAAGCTTCACTGGATAAAAGCTGTGATTTGGTGTCTGAGCCACTTCAAAGCAATCGGTTAGTCTACCAACAGAATGTAATTTTGCCCATGTGTAGCATGAATACGAGCCAATGGTCCTTAGAAAGTCCTCCCCGAAGGCATCCCTCCTTTTAGGCACATTGCCCTTTTGTGCTTTTTTTCATATTCAAATAATGTAGCCTAACCTATCAGTTGAGTGCTCGGATGGAGCTTTTACTGATAAGAAATAGGCCACCCAGTATCAAGAAAATGCGAAATAGCGGTCCTCTTCAGAAGAAACAAAATTATTCTTATAAATATTTAAAATGCGAATTTTCGTTCATAGGAGATGGGAACAGCCCTAATCCTCTTTGTAAAATATACGGGGAGGTTTTGTTGAATGAAATTATGAAACCTTCATTATTGTTGCTTCATTTAAAAATAAAAAACTCTAATTAGAAGCATGAAGAAATACACCACGAGACATCAAAATGTTTCTTGCCATTTACAGAGAATGAACTTGTGAAAGAGCATTCTCGTCTTATACATTAACAGGTGGATGTTGCTCCTGATTTCAGAATTTGCCTTTCCATATTTGATTCTGCCTTCAAAACACTGAGCTCAGTAAACCAAGCGCAAAGGCTGCCTAAACAATGGAGCTTGAATAGCGATTCGAGACTATACGTTTCTTTTAAAGGTGCTAATATTTTTAGTAGTATTTATATATGCAGTAAGATATATTATTCATTTTGTATTTGAGTGTAAAGATGATTAACTTTTCTTACAAATCGAATTTTTTTCCTTGAATTTGGTATGAATGAAGTTACGTATTAATTTCCTTTATATCATTATAGGCTTAATATTTTATTGCGGTACAATACTATTTCAAGAATACTTTGTGTTTTCCGTTTTTAGTATAGATCTAAACCTCATCATAAGTCAATAAACTCTTCAATTCCCTAATTTTCATATTTCTTCTTTTTTTATTTCTTCTTTTTTTTAACGAAAGATAGTACTAAAAATAATTACAGTACATTAAAAATATTATGTTTCTATGTTTTGGATTAAAATTGTGTGTTATTGCTATGCTTATTTGAGATAAATATTGTGATAATCAATCTTCCTTTGATTATATTATTCCGACCTCTGTTGTTGCAATCTATTAATTTATAGCACATTCTTAGTAAGGCACCTTGCAGGAATACTCAAGAGGGGTTAGGGGTCGTAGATGCTAAAGAGGAAAGTTAAGGGTACTCCTATAGTTAGGGGTACGCAAAAGATAAAAGTCTCGGAATTGCAGTTCATGAAAGTTATTAACGGAATAACAGAAGCACTCTCTTGTGTCTTCACATGAGCATAGATTTATTTGATATTTAAACACAGTGCAAAATTTAAGTTTTCTAAGATAAGATCTGTGTGAAAGATTTCTTAAATAACTTTTGGATATGTGGGAGAAAGAAGTTTTCACCCTTCATTTTCCAAAGGACTTTTGTGTTTTTTTTAACAGCGAAATGACACAGATGATGGAGAAATCGTCGCCTATACGGGAGAAAATAATATTGATGCAGTAGACGAAATTTACTCTTGGAATGGTATGACGTAAGTTGAGTATATTTTTCCCTCACTTTAAATCATATTCGTATGATAATAAGCTCCATAGTACATCGTACATAAAACTATTCTGCTTTTTGTTATCTTTGATTCTTTATATAATTTTTGTATTAAGATACCATATTGGCCCGAATGTTTATATATTTTTGAATTTTTGAAGATGCTCTACAAGAAAAAGGGTGTAAAGAAGTTTCTTCTTCCTTAACGCCTGCTTTCGTGATGTATCTGGAAGCACGCCAGGCTAGAAATTGATGTAAGCTTGGAGTTCGAATACTGGCAAGAGCAGCGTTGATTTTTTTCATGTTTCTTGCTCCAAAATAAGCCTAAATAACTGAGAAAGAGTGTTGCATAGGAGATGGTCTCGATATATTTGAAAGTGTATTAGACGTATAATTAAACGTTAAAAGTTGAGAGATAGATGAAATATTATACAAATACATTTCTATATTAAGCGCGTCTATATGTTAAGGTACGTCTTTCTGTAGGACATTCTAAAGATGAATACATCGTCTTATATTCGGACCAATACGGTACTATGCAAAGTGTAGACATTTTTCTAATTTAAATCTTATATATAATTTTGCCTTTTTTCGAAGGGAGGTGCCATCATTTGATCCTCCTTGCAATATGATAAATGGATCAGGTAATATTATTGTTTTGATTATTGACTTATTTTCTTTAAATAATCTTTAAAATATTCCACGAGTTTTCAATTTGCGAGAGAGGCAATTTTAGCTAAAAGGAACAGGTCAAAATAATTATGTTTTGCCGACTTGAAAACAAATATATTTTGAAAGAGCATCAAATCGAAAATCATTCCTTCCTCTAATAGAAAAGCCCAAATTTAAATTACCGTCCTCAAACAGAAATAATCAAGCTTCAGTAGTGCAGCAGTAAAAAAAGCATTCAAGGATGAGCAGCATTTGTCTCAAATTTTGAAGCTTAAACCGAGCGGAATTTAATAATATTTAACTCCTTTAACTTCTTAATTTTCCCTTCTCGGTCCTTTAATATATGAAATGATTTCTCCCAAATTCCTGCCCCCCCCTGTGACTCATAATGAATTGTGATTCTTATTACAAAAGATGATTAAGTTAAAAAGTAAAGATTAAGTTAAAAGCAAAATAACGATTACTTATTAAAGCAAAAAACCTGAAAAGTAAAGATTATATCTATCTACCAAAGTAAAAGTATCCGAAAACTTAAGATAGAAATAAACTACCGTATTTCCTCGCGAATTTTTCTCTTTCTTTTTTTAGCACCAGGTTCTGAAAGTTTTAAAAGTATTCGTGTAATGTTTTTTTCAGTGCATTTAGAGAATGAGCTCACTTAAATTTTAAAATGGATTCGTTTATGTTGTGATTGTTTTCGTCTTACTTACAAAGATAAACTACCTGCGAAAATCATTCCGAACCTTTCCCTTCTAACTGTTAAGCTTTATGCCAACCTAATACAAAAACCGACCAATCACAGCGAAGCAAACATGAACTGACATTCAGTATACGATTTCGTTGAGTCATCTGCACATTCACCTTCTCTAATTATTTATGGATGATTTAAGGCCTAAAGAGTTGCAGAGACAGCTATGAGAACAATCAGGTTTCAAGTTACAGGGAAGTAGAGATGAGGATACTTTATTAGATATTGTAATATTAATATTAATATGCAATCTTATTGGAATGTAGGTTTCTTTTAAAGAAATAATATTTTGATAATTACCTTTAGTTTATCCATGAATACTTTTCATCTGTTCTTACTGTAACCGCATCTTTCGGAAATTAAATCATTTGCATAATTTCCCCTCCTTGATGATTTTTGAACGATAAAATTAGAAAAAAAAAGGGGGAATACGGTACTAAACCGAAGTTAAGTATCAAAGGAGCCCTAGAAATAAGGGAAGCTACTTCTTACCGAAGACTCTTACTTAAAACATGATTTCTTTTATTATAAGTTGTTATCCTTATTTTGAAGTAAAATAAATCCTATGGTAATGATGGTGAGATTTTAAATGGCTGCCTGCGTTAGATTTCCATGATACATGCTACTAAAATATTTTGATGTGCAGCTTGTCTAAAAGTTGAGACTTATAGTATAACCATATTACACAAAGTTTTAAGGTCGTAAGAATTGTTCATTTAAGTGCTGTAATGTTGTTTTCTTCTCTTAAGTTTTTTGTGCAATACTTACTCTTCATACTGCTACAGTTTGAAGGAAGAGCACAAGTTTGAAATTCCCACGAAAGGTAGAACATATTGGAATATTCAAATATTTAGCAATTGAAGACACACACACACACACACACCACACACACACAAAAAAAAAAAAAAAAAAAAAAAAGGAACGCTCCCAGCAGGTTCAGATTTACACGGAGAATCGTAATCTTAGTCAGTCACGTCGCTGTCAGCTTCGATTTCCTTTGACATTACAGCACAGAAATTAGCGCCTACAATGGTGCGTTAAAAATGCATACATATCAATGCCTCTAAGTCGTCTTTTCTCATGAATATCCCGCTTTTGCTTACACAGCGTCATTATAGCCGTATTTCGGTATGAAGTCATAGAGGGGAATGAAATCTGGAAGCCTGCTTTCTTCATCTTCTAATCATCTAATCTCTTATGCGTAGTACCTAGATTGTTGATGTAGGTGCCACTGGATATACATCCCATTCACTTCTAGTCAACATATCCGGCATTTTGACTAGCCACCGTTATTTGCTGAGATTTTTATACCTGCGGCTGTGCCATATCTTCACGACCACGGACCTTTGAACAGGACAGATCGTGACCGAATGTTGCCTCCTGTTGTCCTCTTTTTCTTTAATACACAAGGTGTTTAACTAATGCTTTTGCCAGTGCATTCTTTAGATCTCTAACCAATTAAAAATGCTTCGTGAAAGTTTGCAGATTGATATCACGAGAACAGCCGCTTGCCAGTTCGATTGATGAACTCTGGCATAAAACTGAAGCCGCATCTATTGCAATACTCATCTAGTACCATCCTAAATCTCTTCAACTGCATTCCCAGTCGATATTTATTTACAATGATATAAATATGAATCAATTGATTACGGGACATGGAAGGTTCCCATATTACTTGAATAGGTTTAATATACAAGACAATGAATTATGTTTGAATTGTGGTGTTCCAGGAAATGCCAGACACTTCGTAATGGAATCTGGAATGAAATGTGCTAATAGATACTATTAGGAAAAGTTTTAATAGTGTATCATTCATTTTAAGAATTTGAATTTAAACATTTTTTAAGTTTTGTCACAATCTAATGAGCCTTGTGATGATAATAGCAATTTTGGCATTTTTGTTTTGAGGGATTTACTTTGGTAGCATTATTTGTGTGGCAGTATTTTTAGGAGTTTTAATTTAAATTTTTAATTACACTTGGGATTTCAAAGGTTTTAATTCTTAGTTTTTATGTGGGGTGCCCTGTCAATTCCAGTGTGTTGTTTGGTTGTATTTTGTGTTTGTGTTGTTCTTATATATGTATCTTTCCTTTTTTGGTTTTCTTATACAAACATATATTTTTTTTTAGTTAGTTATTTTTAGTTTTATGAGGTGTCCCTTTAAGACCATAAGATCACTTCGTGATCATGGTGGATGGGGAGCACTCCAGCAATCTTACTGCATTTCCCAGTCGTATAATAACTGTTAATTGTGTCAAAGACGGATGGTTAGGGTGCTGATTTATGCATATTCTGAACATTACATTTACCTGAATTTGAATCATTTCATCTTTCGGTTGTAATGTTATTTAAATAAATATAATTCTAAGTGCTTTCCTTCATAGTGTAACAATTTTAATCGCCAGCGGTATATTTGCGTGTTCTCCAAACACATATGTATTTACTTACATACCCTAAATAATGCATGGCTTTGTATATTATTCTTCAAATTTGAGTTCGTGTAGGTTTACTGGGCAGCTAACTCTATACACATTTCAAATATTGATATATCCAAAATGTTTTACTTAAAAAAATATGTAATTTTATAATATTTTACTAGTAAAAGGTTTGTAATAAATACAAAGAATTTAGTAATATAAATATGAAACAGCATGCTGTATAATTTTATATAACAATTAGCAATGCAATGTAATTAATTTTTCATTGAACCACGGGCTTTATTGGATGGTTTTTACTGTCACTGTTAAATGCGCTAGAGAACAAATGATCATTCTTGACTGATATTATAATTATTGCATTGGGGTGTTTAATGCACTGTAATTAAGGTTTGTTGAACAACATTTTCCATTAGGTTTCGAATAGTGTAACCGTTTTCTTATCAAAACTTTCCTTTGCTAACAAAGCCTTTTTTTTTTTTTTTTTTTTTTTTTTAAACTTGCTTCAAATACAAAATACATTTTTATTTATAAAAGGTGTATCATACATCTTTAATTCCATGCGTTTGGTGAATTTTTGCAATCTGGTTTTGTTTCGTAAGTTTTTAATAATCTTCCGTATTTGCTGAATCCCATCTTGTTTGTTTATTCCTCGGTTTAATTGGGAGTGCATTAAAGTTAATTTTTAAGAATAATCTAAAATATATTTCATCTTAATTTTCAATTAATTTTTCTACATGCTTTCCGTTCTATTCTGCCCCTTTTAGTTAAAAGTGTTGCAATATTTTTATAAAAATCTTAAGTGTATCTTTTAAAGCTGTCCAGTTTTGTTTCACATTTGCTTTTTTTTACTTATTACGTGCTCCGCCGTTAGGCACTGTATGGAAAGAGAGGGATGCCCCGTGGCGGTCATTTTAAGTGAAACTGGTTCCTATCTATGTTACACATGGGGAAATCCACAAAAACACCCAAACAGCCAGCCCGTTCGACAGGACTCGAACCCCGGACCGAAGTAAAAGTGTTCAACGGCTTTTACCGCTCGGCCGCTGGTGGGCCTCTGTGTCACATTGGCAAATTTTTATGTTTTATGTTAGCCAGAAAATTTTCTAAATTTTTACCATTCCCTAATGTCAGAAAAATCTATTTAAAATACATAAAAGTTGTTTTTGTTCTTTATTTGTTGTTTTGGAGAGATTTTTAATTAATTCAAGTTTTATATGTAAGGATAATACTTAGTATGTAAATATAAACATTTTCTTTACTTTAGCTTGATTCGACCTGTAGATCTCTATTATGCCACTTTTTTAAATATTGTGTTGTCCCAGCTATTGGGTCTCCTTTGTCATTTATAGGTATCCAGTTGATGATGTTCCGGTAGAAATATTTTTTCATATTTTGCTTTCGCATCAAATGAGTGAGCACAGAAAACCGACATTTTCTCTTTTCATTATGTATCAGAAGTGTTTTCTACAGTTTTACAAGAATGAATAAGCAAATGCACTCGTGGTTTCTAGAAGCATAGAAACCCAACCGGAATCCTGGTTAGCGTCAGTGACCTACCGTGCCAAAGGGCCCGCGTTCGAATCCCGGAGAAGATGATAGATGTTTGTAAATATTGTGTCGGTGTAGCATGGCGGCACCCTAAATGTGCAGGGAACCGAAATTCCTCTCTTGTGGTTTGGTGGAAGGGGAGATCATGGAGGTAGGAAGTAAGATGGAGTGGCCCTAAACAGGTTTCTCCCGTACCGTGCTCTGAAGCACTGGCGATCCCTACGTGGTGACCAAAAATGGTCATTACTTAAGGCAGGGTTTTGACTCTATCGGATGTAAATATTGTAATTACGTCGTAAATACATAAATGTATATATTTTCTTTTTCTCACAACACTTCAGACTCTAATATAAAACGACAGATTTTAACAACATTCATTCTGAACGGAATTAATGTATACTTTCAAGAACAGTTTTTCAGAAGGTTAATTGAATGAAATTTTCACAAGTTTTCGTTAATACATAGAACAAAAAACATTTTCGATTTTATTCGGTAAGGTACAAAAATTAAGATCAAAGTTTATTTATTATTCATTTAAAATATGCATTATTTCTTTTCTATTTAGGAGCTTTTCCTAAATACTTCTTAAATATAACATGATTTTTTGGCTTCTGAGGCATTTTTAAATCAAAATATAATCAATTTATAATTAATGTCTATTCAGTCATTTTAATTAGAGAATTATTAGAAATAGCGAATACTTAAATAGTACTAACGTTTCGAACTTTCTGAAAAGGATAAATAATTTTTTTTTTAGTATTTTAAAACTTGTAACTGAGTATTATAAATGTAAGGGAATAATGTTTTAATTTTACTTATCAGATTTTTTTTATGTAATCAACAATCTATTCCAAAACTCTTTTATACTTCTTAAGTCGCATCTCTAGCATTTGCTTAATCTTTAAACCGACTTGCTTCCATACGAACAATTCTGCTTAATAGTTTATAACGATTGCACAATTTCAATTTATGTTTACAATTCAATATTAAGGGATTATATATTAAAAATTTAAACATTATAATTAGATGCATTTAATAATTGATTTTTCACAGTCAAACTTCACGTGTTTTAATGCATAATTCTATTAAATACATTTATAAATAATAATGAATATTATGTACTTGTTCAAGGCAGATACATGCTTTTTGCAAGCACATGCATAAATACCCATACATATTTCCTATTTTTCATTTCCGGCATTGCAAATCTTTAATTCTGTGCATCACTAATTTTGAGTAAAGTAATTATACTATTTAGCAGAACCGAAGTTTTAATAAAAAATATATAGATATATTGGAATGTGGATTGCAGCATTTATGGAATTTTTTTAATTAACCCATAATTCAAACGAGTAAGCCAAAGTGATTATTTTTCAGATTATAAATTAAAACGATAGTTTAAAGGAGCAGAAGTAAAGCCTCCTCAAAAAATTTTAAAAGGTCATGTACAATAAATATGGTGTGAAAAAAATTTATTTTATTAAAACATTTGGCGTTTGGAGATAAAATAAAAGTAGCGAATACTCTATCAAGGTATCGAAAGGACTATACAATTTTAAGTACGTAAGTATTTTTCATTCTTTAGCATAAATTTTGTTAAAATTATATTTTTGTAGTTCAACAGCTTAGAATTTTATAAAGCAAATTCATATCAAATCACTGTTTTAGTTATCGAAAAAACCAAGATGGGATTTTGGCGTAAATGTCACTTTGTTTTTTTTTTTTTTTTTTTTTTTTTTATTTTTTTTTTTTTGTTTTTTTTTTTTTTTTTTTTTTTTTTTTTCAGTTGTTATGTGAACTATCGTGTGTCGAAATACTTCAGGCACTGAAAGCGAGCTTTGAATTAAACAAAACACCCCATCTGGTGACCGAAGCTTCGAAGCAGTGCTTCACTTATAGTGCCGGTTGGCCACTCCTTCCTTTCTTACCTCCATGGGGGAGATGGGTGGGAGACCCTCGGGCCCATCCCCCCCGGGGTGCTCTCCATCAAAATTGGGGGCGGAGCTAATCTAAATCGCACTGTCACCTGAATGGTGCTCATGGCTGTTGCCAACGGCAGCCATGAGCACCATTCAGGTGACAGTCTAGCGCTCCTTGCCAAAAGGAATTTCGTGGGATTTGGCTGAGTTGGTCAGATAATGAGCATAAGCAACAACAAGAACAGAAAGATAAATTTTTCATTTTTGTTCATCTAATACTCATGTATAATTCTCTTAGATTTTTAGTGCAAGGTTCTGAAAAGTTTTAAATATTTATGTAATTTTCTTCATTAGTCTACTCAGTGGTTGCTTTCTTCTTACTAATTGATTAGCCCGCGGGTTTTGGGTGCATGAGCTCTGATTCAAGGAGCAGTAAGAGTTGATGGTTCTTAAAATCATTGAATGTGGGGAAACATACTGAAAGGTAACGAAGACGATAAGGTGACGTTGGTGACGACTAGCGAGCTATTCAAAGACGACAGATACAACAGTTGTAACAGCATTAAATGATTTGAGGCTTAGCAAGTAGCAATGGACAACAGTATAAACGGTCGAGATTCAGGTTTACAGGAAAGAAGAAATGAAGATATCCTATTAGATATTGTAATGTTAACACTGGAGTGTGGGGTTTTTTGATAAATAATATTGTGATAATTACTGGTACTTTATCCTCAAATACTTTTAATTTGCCAAGTTATTAACTATGACCATGTTCTTTGGAAATTAAATTATTCTCATAATTTTCCACTCTCGATACTCGTCTGATATAATTAATAAAAAAGGGGGATTATTCGCCAGTAAATGAGGTAACGGAATTCGAAAACCGCATTGCGAAGATTTTAATTTTATTTTATATTCAGTATACATGACGGAACAATAAAACTCCTTATTTCTTCTCTCTCGCAAAGTGATTGTAAAATAGTGTTATAATCGTTTGCAAATCATATTATGATGATTTAAAGCTTTTTTTTCTTATTACAGCTGGAGATACGTGGCCACCAAACCAGTCCTATGACAGTAAAATAACTCTTTTTGTGCCAGATATATGCAGGTACGAATGTAAGTTTTTGAACCAATTTTAGATGCAGACAAAAAAAAAAAAAAAAAAGTGAGAGATCCCGAATTTTAATTTTTACGAATGAAAACCTTAAAAACATTTCATGTATAATATTTGATTAATGCGCTAAGATTTTAGGAAAAATCTGAAGTTAGTTTATTATATTTGAGAAGAATTACTATTTATTAATTGATGAAAATGTATGCGTTGTAATACAAGTTTGCTTTTAATCATTCTGTTATTAGGTAACAAAATAGGTACAAACGTACACGTTTGTTTTTGTAGGTTCTTTCCTCCCATTATGGAAGGACGGAGACACGTAGAGCCACCAAATTTTGAATACACAAAGAGTCCTCCACCCAAACATGACCACATCGAAACCCGAATTTCGAATTTTTTGGTTTATTAACTTTAGGGTTTGAGCAAACTTAATAAAATTTTGATTAACAAACTCAACGATTTAAAACAATATGTTGGCATTTAGTAAAGCGCGAAATATTTATGCTTCAAATTTAATCAAAAACTCAGCATTTTAAAAGAAATGTGTTATCACTACCTGAAATAAAATTTTATTTTAAACGCACCAGTGGGTTGCCATTCAGCAAAGCGTAAGATAATTAATTTTCCTTACTGATTTAAAAGCTATAAACGCAGTTCTTCATGTTTGTTATTACTATTTACTAGCTAAACACATGAAACTACATTAGCTGGACTCTAAAATCATCATGTATTACTTTTTTGTCATAGTAACTACTTTTACTACTGATAAATTTAACATATACATATATTATTTATGTTGTAAAACTCATTCAGGAAGTTCATGCGTAAGATGTTTGTTTCATGAAGTCGGTCATGTTTCCCTATTTCGATAAGTAACGGTTTCGTCATGGTATAGAACATTTTATCCACTTGTTTTAAAAATGCCACCGAAGAGCAGTAAAAGAAACCCTTTAGCTACTCATCAAAAGCGTGAAATTTTTAAAAAGCTCTATCCAGTCATTAGGATTTGTTTGCAAGCAATAGAAGTGAAAAATGTGCAACGCCTTCCCTGGGAA